TCTGGAAGGGCCCTCAGAGCACAGAACCCTGGATCTGGAAGGGCCCTGAGAGCACAGAACCCTGGATCTGGAAGGGCCCTGAGAGCGCAGAACCCTGGATCTGGAAGGGCCCTGAGAGCACAGAACCCTGCATGTCAGAGGCCAAGGGACCAGAGGTCACTAATTCTACCTCCTCATTCTACAAGGACTCCTTTCGTGGCCGATAGGGAACGTCTGTAAACATCTCTGAAGTTCTTCAAGGAACTGCTCATTTGTCTCAGAGAATCTGTTCCCAGATGCCCTGGGAGGAGACCATAGGAAATTAAAAAATGACCCACCAAAAAAATAAATAAATAAAACAAATAAAGGCCCCACAATTGTCTTCATCTACTCCTGATGTGGGAAATCAGTGTGAACTGCTGACCCTGAGCTGTTGAGTGCTAATGGCCCAAGGCGACTGCGTACCCCCAAGGACCTGGTGATAATCAGGACAGATTATAAGATAACATTTGTAAAGCACTTAGCCCAGTGCCTGGTACAGAGTAGGTGCTTAATAAATGCTTGTCCCCTTCCCTCTCCCTTTCCTACCCTTGCAGATCTGTTAGGAAGGACGCAGCCCTCATGGAGGATGTATGGGGTACAGTGGAGAGGGCTGGCCCTTTTCCTGAGGGTGGTATTTTCTTAAGGTCTCCATGAAGAAATCACAGTAGAAAGACTGAGAAAGCCTAGGATCCACCTGTCCACAGGACCCCTGATCCAGAGACACCAGAGTTTTCAAAACATGAAATTCCAAGACATTCAGATCAGTATAAGAAGAGAATTCAGGAGAGACCAGATGGTGGGATTCTTCACCTCCAAGCCCTCCATGATGGCACTCAAGCCTGGGCAGCCAGTGTTGACAGTGTTAGAAGGTGGCACCCAACCCCCTGCCCACCTACTCTTCCAAAAACACAACCTGCACGCCAGATGCCACGCCTCAATGGGATCAAATCCTGGCCAATCAATCTGGGCAATGCCCGGGGACCCCAGTACCCCGCATCTTCCTTTCATTTCTATCATCACTACTCTGAACCATTGTTAGAAGTTCTGTCTCTAACACGATTTGGGGTACCAAAAAAACCACACTTTTTGTTTGTTTTGGAAAAGTCCCTTCTGATGTGGTCATTCTCAGGAACGAGCCTTGGGGGTTACCAGAATATTGTTTTTGTTTCTTTGTTTTTTAAACAAGAACAAAAACCCAAAATGAAACAAAAAACAAAATAACAAAACCCTGCCAGAACAGAGGTAGAAATGATGTCGCCCTAGAAGAGTCTTCCCACAAGAGCCCAAATGAGGTGGGGCTCCCTGTGGCCGCCATGATGGGATCACCATGATGGGATCACTGTGATTACTTTGCGTTTCAGCAGGCTCTGGAACCCAGTGGGGTACTGATGAGGGATTTGCTTCTCCAATACCATTATTCTGGAAATGGACAGCCTGGGTATTTCAGTTGTGTGACCTGTAGGGAATTCCTGAATCTTCCAGACTACTCGGTGTCTACTAGTTTTCTTGTGCTATATATTTCGTTATTGATTCCCCACCCACGAACCCCTTCAGCTATGGCCTGAGAGAGGACGAGGGAATCTTAAAATAATTTCAGTTTTAGATGATAAACCGAGATGTCAGGAGCTGACCACAAGAAATGGGGAGAACATGTGAAAATATGAGTCAGAGGGTGGGGAGGAAGGCCAATAAAAGTCCGGGTCAGCTTCTGCCCATCCACAGGGCACCTGTCAAGTTTCCTGGGGAAGGCTTCCCTGACAATTTCAAGGTCATGGGTGGGTTCCTAGAGGCTGAATGGGGCTCCTGTGAGGAGGACTCGCTTAGCCTGGCATCCTGGGAGTCCACAACGGTTGACACATCTGCCTCGCTGGACAGATCCTCTGAGGAGAAATTGAGGCTCCCGAGCTTGGCCAAGGAGTGGGAGCGTTTGAGCGGGGAGGAGACGGTCAAGCCGGCTAGCCGGAGGCGAGTTTCGATCTCCTGGGTCCGCTGCTTCACCAGGCCTGGCTTCCCTCGTACGCTGTGGATGCTGTCGCTGCTGGAGCTTCGGGTCAGATTGGAGCTCATGGAAGAGGAGGTGGGAGTGTAGCAGATGGTCTTGAGAAAGTCTTTCGAGAAGCTGCTGGTGTGGTCCAGCCGGTAGAGGAAGGAGGGCCCAGAGCTCTTCTGGGAGGCTCCTTCCAGAGGGAGGGCAGCCTCCAATTTCTCAGAGTCACCTCCGGCTTCGCCAGGGGAAGGAGGGCATGCTAAGGGGCATGCCCCGCCTTGGGGGGGAACCAGCTCTTGGCATTCCTCAGGGATGCTGGCTTCCAGCCTGCTGCTGGTGGGGCTGTCTCGGAGCGGGGACACGGCCTCAGCGGGGATCCCCTTCAGGCGCTCCAACTCTTTGGTGTGCTTGCGGACCAAGCCCGCCTTCTGTAGCTGGATGATGGACTCCTGGTGCTGCATTAGGTAGCTGCTGGCTGTGGGCTTGGCCAACTCTTTATTGAACAAGAGGAGCCTCAGGTCCTTGGTGGCCTTGGCATCCTTCTTGGAGGCTGGGTCTTCTTTGACCGCCTCCAGGCTAGGGAGGCTCTTTTCACAGTGAGAGTTCTTCAGGAGGCCTAGTGGCTTTGCCAGGACTTTCTGAGATTCCTTGGGAGGGTCCGAAAGGCCGCCTGGAGGCTCCTCGGCAGGCCGGCCGCTGGCGTCCAGCCTGCCAAAGGAGGCCGGGAGCAGGGCTGGGGAGCTCTCTCCAGGACCTGGGGAGGGTCTCTCCAGAAGCCGGGACTTGCTGGACGCTGGGTCCACTGGGGAAGGTGTAAGATGGGGCAGAAGGGAGGGCTGGGTACAGATGGCAGGGGAGCTGAGTTTCTCGCACTGTTCCCCGAAAGTCTCTGGTGCTGCCCTTGGGGTGGAGTACATACAGTCAGTGCAGGACTGGTAGGAAGGTTTCACTTTGTTAAGGATTCCAAATATGGCATCATGCTAGAAGGAAATAAAGCGCAGTGAGATAGGGCATGGGAACATCTGAATGGAGAACAAAGGTAATCGACCCTCTACTTAGCAGGCAAAACGGTACTAAAAACTGGGGAAGGAAAGGTGGGAAATTCTCACGTCAGAGAGGCAGCCTGACCAGTGGGCTGGACTGCAGCCTGGAAGACTTGAGTTCAAATTCTACCTCCTGACCCTTAGTAATTGTGTGACCCTGAGTGTCTGCTTTACCATCTGTAAAATGGGGACAATAATATCCGTGGTACTTTCCTCACGAGGTTGTTATGAGGCCCAAATCAGTATGATAAGATGCAAAGAAAGAGATGGCTCTGGAGTCCAAAGACCTAGTTCAAAACCCACCTTTGCTGTGTGTTAACTGTATAACCCTGGGCAAGTCACTTACTCTCCCTAGCCCTCAGTTTCTTCAAATGGAAATCGGGAGATCTGGGCTTGATAATTTTGAAGATTTTCTCCAAGACCCAGTATAACCCAGAATGGTAGTTTTGAAGTTGGAAGGGACCTTAGATAGAAATCATCTAGTCTAATCTCATTTTGCAGATAAAGGAAACTGAGTCAAAAAGAGATGATGTGACTTGGCCAGTGTCGTACGGGTATGGTACAAAGCCAGGATATTAACTCTGGCTCCAATTGAGCCCAATTGCCTTATTTTATTTTCTAAGGAGGGAGCCAGGTCCAATGGATGGAGGATTGAACTTAAAGTCAGTCTGGTCCAGAGGAAGTGGTTCTGGGGTCACAGGGCCTGAGTTCAAATCCCACCTCAGATACGTACTAACTAGGTGATCCTGGGCAAGTCAGGTAACCACTCTGTGCCTCAGTTTCCTCAAATGTGAAAAGAGGAGGATGAACCAGATGTCCTTAGAGGTTCCCTTAAACTCTAGATCCAGGATCGAATGGCTTCTTTGCCTCAGAGGTTTTTTTCTGGCTCTGGGTCTGAGCTTATGAAACCTGGGTTCAAATCCTGCTCCAGTCATTTGCCAGCAGTATGACTCTAGGCAAGTTATCCAACTTATCTGACCCTCAGTTTTCACATCTGTAAAATGGGGATAATATCAGTACCTACCTCAAAAGGTTACTAAAAGCATCAAAAGATGGGCTCCAGGTAATCTAGTGATTAGTACTGAATTAAGAGAGGGTGGGGAAGGCTTTCCGTAGAAGGTGGGATTTTAGTTGGGACTTAAAGGAAGCCAGGAGGTGGTGAGAAGAGGGTGCATCATGGGCATTGGGGACAGCTAGATAAAATGACAAGAGCTGAGGGATAGATGGGCAATCTTGTTCAAGAAACAGCCAGGAGGTTGGCGTCACTGAATGGAAGAGTACGTGCTATGGAGTGAGGTGTGAGAGGACTGGAAAGGTAGGAGGGGGCTGGGTTACGAAGGCCTTTGAATGGCAAACATTCTGGAGGGGTTAGGAAGCTACTGGAGTCTATGGAGTGTGTGTGCGTGTGACATGATCAGATATGAGCTTTAGGAAAATCACTTGAATGGCTGAATGGAGGATGGACTGGTGTAGGGAGAGACCTGAGGCAGGCAGACCCCCCCCCCCCAGCAGCTACTGCAGTGGTCCAGATGGGAGGTGATGAGGGTCTGCACGGCACGAGGGCAGTTTCAGAGGAGAGGAGGGGGCACATTCGGGAGATGTTATGAAGACAGAATCAGTAAGACTTGAATGAGTTCTGTTCGGGACATGAGTTTGAGGCGGTGAAGCCAGGCACGAGGTACAAGAAGTAAGAGTCCAGGGGCTCCTATACCCTTCTTTCCCCCATACCCCAACTCATTTGCAAGTAGAAAAAAAGATCTGGCAGATAAGAATGGATGATAGAGCTGGAGACTGGAAGGCCTGAGTTTAAATCCACCCTCAGACACTAGCTGTGTGACCTTGAGCAAGTCACTCAACCTCTGCATGCCTCAGTTTCCTCATTTGTAAAATGGGAGGGAATCGAATGAGCTAATTGTTTGTAAAGCACTTTGAGAACCTTCAAGCAGCACATAAATGCTAGCTGTTCATATCGCTCTCGTTACTGTGCCCGGGATGGCCCAATGTGGTAAAGAATGCATGGATTGTAATTCTGGAGAAGTCTGTCATTTGCTCCGGGTCACACAGCTAATTAGTCACAGAGCTGGCCTCTGAACCTTATTCCTTTCCAAATGTAGTGCTTAGCACCAAGCCTGGAACACAGCAGGGACTTCATAAATCCCAGTTGATTCGCAGACTCCCATTGCGATACCTAAGGTGGGGGCAAGTACTTGGCAAAACCTTCAGCTGCTTCAGAAACGGGACCTATTAGGGAGATGAGGAAAGAAAGGCCCCTGGAGATCACCTGAGGCCATCCCCTCTTTTCACTGAGGCCGAGAGCACAGGATCATAGATTTAGGGCTGAAAAGGCCTCAGGTTCAGTCCCTTCATTTTACAAAGAAGATGCGAAGTGACCAACCCAAGGTCACATAGCTACTAAGTGCCTGAGGTAGGACTGGAACCCAGGGCTTCACGATTCCAGTTCCAACACCACCTCCCACACCAGGCTACCGCTCCAGCGGAGATGTGACTTGGCCAAGGTCACACCAAGCGTCAGAGCTGGAAGAAAGACGCTTGGAGGGCCGGGGGGGAGGCAGCACGTCCCCCTTTTCCCTAGCGTACCTCAAAATCTTCGGGGCAGCTCCTCTTGCTATTGTTGTTATTCACGTTTTCTTTGAGGTGAAGGCGGCTTTCCAGCGGCTGGCTCAGGGGCCGGGCCCGCCTCTCAGCCCCCGGGCTCTCGTCCCGCTCCATCTCCTCCACTTGGGCCAGGGGGCCGCTCGACGCCCTGGGGATCCCAAACTCCAGCCTCTTCCTGACCTCCCTGTCACACGAAGCAGACCCCCTCCGGGGAGGCCGAGCTGGTTCCCGTGCTGCCTCTCCTCCCAGCAGAGCGTCTCTCTCCAAGTCCTCCAGCTGGATCAAGTCGCTCCCGTTGCCTGAGGAATTGGGGAGGGGGTCTGAGAGCTGGCGGAAGCAGTAGGGGAAAGCTGGGCCTCCAGGCGCCTGACTGTCCAGGAGCCCAGGCTGCTTGGGGCTGTCCAGGGCGACCAGCCGGGCCTCCAGATCAGCATCTAAGCTCTCCATCAGAAAGGCACCAGGGCCAGGGGGGTCGTCGGCCCCCTGGGGGAGGCTGCTCTCTGTCTGCTGCCCCCAGAGTTTGTTATGGCGCTGTTTGCTGTGGGGACAAAAGGCAGAGGGCGGTCAGCCTGGAATCACGGTGCTCGAAGGCCCACCCGGCACTCGGACACGCTGAGCTGTCCTCTCCTCCTCGTCACTTACTGGGCCTCACTGTCCTCGTGCTTAAAAGGAGGGGAGTGGCCTAGGTGATCCTTAAGGTCCTATCTACCTTTAGCTTTCTCTTCTAAGGACCTTCTTAGACCTGACATTTGATTGTCTAGAGTTTCTCTGAGCTCTGATGTTCTAAGTTCTAAGGCCCCTCCCAGCCCTGACATTCCCCATTCTAAGGCCCCTCCCAGCCCTGACATTCCCTGTTCTAAGGCCCCTCCCAGCCCAGACATTTCCTGTTCTAAGGCCCCTCCCAGCCCAGACATTCCATCTTCTAAGGCT